ATTACAGTAAAACTTCAGTAAAAATTAAATACAAAGTGTAACTTTTACACAACTGTCACGCATCTGATTGAAGAACATTACTGAGCATCTCTGAACACATATAGATCTTCACTGTTTGTCTGGAAAAGAATAAAAGTAAAAACTGGCATCTCATCAGATTGTTCGAAATGTATTGCGCAAATATATCACATAATTCTGATAAACTTCGTCTTCTCATTGCATCAAATGAAATACTTGTTTTAAATACATTAGTATTTCATCAAGTTATTGCAATATAAAATCTAAGATGCATTCAGAACTCTATTTTCTGCGATTTTATAAGCCAAAACATCCAAAGTTCCATCAACGATTCAAATGTAACGTTATTTTACAATTCTGAACAAGTGAACTTTCATATTCTTTGTTCTTTGATGATCTCTTCGTTTCTTTAAATGTTTTTTTTTTCATCTTCTAATTTTATTCTACTATGTTCATTTAACCTTATTGTACCACCCGGAAGTGATGCACACTGAACAGTCGTTCACGTTCACAAACCCAGAAAATATTACTTGTCAGCTTACTATCACATTTTCCATAGAATCATCAACGAATGGAACTCATTAGCTCAACACGTGAATTGAAGCTCCATCTTTTGACGCACTAGAAAGAAGGTTAGATCAACTGTGAGACAAACACTGCCAAGACTAACACAAGCTATCTAGTCTCCTTTCTTTCCTAAACTGAGACTGGAGTTAAATATCATAAAATAAAATTGAATTATAGCACGGTGGTTAAAAAATAGCAAGCCCATATTTAAAAAATTCAGCTATCTGACACCATCTCATTACTTATTTAACTACACAATTTTTTCTAATTTCCTTTTCAATTGGAAGTTGGTTTGTTCTCTCTCATAGTAGGCTTTTGCTGATGGTATCCGGCCAACAGATACTCAGTATCTTACGTAGACTATTGTTTATAAATACTTGTACATTTTCGATGATAGTTTTAGAAGTTTTCCATCCTGATTCTTTAGATCGTTGGTGGAATGACATCTGTAGGATGGTTTGCGTGTGCTGCTTTGATGTCCGATAGGCTTAATAAAGCTGACCTATTCAAGAGTTCCTCAAGATGTTTCACTCATCTGTTCCTCTTTTCTTGAATCTCGGTAATTGTCTTGCCTTCTTTGTACTTGAGTGGTCTCTCTGGCTTACAATATTTCCCTGTCAGTTTCCTCATTATATCACATAGTTGGCTGATATCCCTTTCTCTTGAAGCTTTTTCCATTGTCGTTACTAGGTCTTTCATTTATTTCTGCTTGTCGACTCTAGTTCCCTTCTTCACTTTCTTGTTTGCTTCAATATATTCAGCTTGCGCCTCGACTTTCTCTGTTCTTGTTTGACTGTTGTTAATTGTTGTCTTCATGTTCTTCATTTCTTGAATCTTATTCAGGTTTTCCATAGAGATTCATTCCTTATGATTGATGATGCTTCTTATGGTCCAGCACCTCCTAACACTTTGAAGTTGATGCTTCTTTGACCACTTTCCAATTGTTCTCTATAGTAGTTTCTTCTTTTTTCAGTAGATCTTGAAAGTCTTGGAGCCTGTTGTTGAGAACTATTCTGAATTCGTTAGTATCTCGAAGGAAGGCTGCATTGAACATTTGTAGTGTTGTTTCTCTAGTTGTTCAGTATTTCTTTAGCTTTAGTCTCATCTTCGCAATCACCAGGTTTTGATCTGAAGCTATGTCAACTCCTCTCCTGAATCTCACGTCTTCCAATGTCCTTCTGAACATTTTACTGATGCAAATATGATCAATCTGGTTCTGTGTGGTGTGATCCAGTGAAACCTATGTATCCTTGTGTATGCCTTTGTGTGGGAATATTGTGCCGCCCATAAACAGTTTGTTGAATGCACGTAGATTTGCAAGTCTCACCCCATTTTCATTTCTCTCTCCTAGTCCATGTCGTCCCATGATATCTTCATATCCGGTGTTGTGTATTCCGACTCTGGCGTTTAGATCTCCCGTCAGGACGGTCAGGTCGTTTCGCAGCTTTGATCATGAAGCGTCATAATTCTTCCTTGTACTTGGAGGGCAGATTTTAAGTGATTTAAATTGTTTATTCTGGTTAGCGTTTTTTTAGCAAGGTTATTATCTACGGGATGAAGTTGTCGACTACTTGCCCAAACCTCATCCTTTGTGTGGGCTTGAGACCGACAGTAACCCTAGGACTACAGGAGAAGTCAATAGCATTTCATAGGGAAATCTAAGTATAACTACTACAACTATGGAACAAATATTCAGAGAAATCTTTTCGTGAGGTGATTCCCGATGTTCTAGTGAGATTTGGTGACCAGTGAAGTCAAACCATGTCCAATGTTAGACAGTTTTACACCAATGACCTTTGAACACAGTTGGACAATATCGTGAATTAAAGATAAACTTATTCCAATGTCAAATGTGTATTTTGAAAAAAAGAAACATTACAACTACTCTACAGGAAGTCGTACTTTTTACTGTTGACCCAACTGACAGGTTCGTTGTAATTTTTCTTATGAATTGTTTCTTTTTTTCAACAAGAAAAACACAACAATCCACGTTTCATTGCAGTTATGTAGGTAATACATACTTGTGCGTTCGTATGTGTGTAATATTAACATACTTAACTAATTTCGTAATAGATCTGATGTGTTAAATCTACTGAACTTCATCATTCATATTTTAACTGGTGAAACAAATGTAAGTTTAAAATAAACACATTCAGAAACATCTACACACGTTAAATGTTATTGTTGAAAAGCATTTGACTAAAACTGAACATTGGTAAATTTATAGATTTAAATTTCAAGTTGGAATGTAAAAACTACTATCTGTTTCGTAACCATGTAAACTAAGAGGCTAAACAATGTTCACAAAGTTTTCTTTTGGAAACTCCATCTTGAATTGACCAAACTTAGAGTTTACATGATTTTCTTATGTATTTAAAACAATCCCATATTTATGAATTAAAGATCTATTTATACATAACGTTATTTTCGAACTTTATCATGGCAAACTTTTCAGTGTACAGATATGCATTTACTGTTCTGTATCCAATGAATAACAAAAATAGCTTATTATGTAATGTGGTTTTGATTATACTATGGCTCTGTACGTTCTAATTCTAATCTACTAGTCTTAATTGATCTAAGAGTAAGAAAGGTATCTATAACAGGCACAAATTTACTATTAAAAGCATATTCACATTGACACTTGTTTAACTGAACTATCATTTCGGAATTCTTTTTAAATGAAATCAATAAATGAAAATATTACTTTATGTGTAAGATATTTGATAAATCGAAAATCAAACTGTATAACTAAGATACTAATGAGTTGTATTGTGCATAAGTTTATGAAAAACAAGTTGGTGTATAATATCGATGTTAAATTACAAAACATAAAAACACAATGATTCGCACAATCTATTTTTGTTGTTGTTGAGAAATTATAAGCACAAAACGTAAAATGGTGACAATCAGTTCCGACTAGAGATAATAATGAATTGGTCAATTGAATTATTCACATTCTAAGATTTTACATGATAGAATGAAGATATGAATTGACAATATCACTTGTATTGTTTTGTCTGTCCCAACCCTCTAGTATACAACTGATATTGAAAGTGAATAAGTAGAATATGTTGTTGAAGTACATATTTTATTTAAGTCTTTGTTGACATTTGACAGAATTGTTGTTTATTTTTAACATTCATTAAGTTCCATATAATTTTAACAGTTGAATTTATGAGCCAATATAAGCTAGATCACCATTGGAAACCTGGAAGCACTGTACAGCCGTTTCGTCCTAGTATGGGACTTCTCAGCTGTGCACACCCATGACCGTGTACGCGTGACTCAGACCTAGAACCTTCAGTTTCGCAAGCAAACACTTAAACTCTCTATTCTAAAATGAATAAAGATACGCATTTTTCCGCCTGAGTTATTGGCCTAATCGGACGAAGAGATCCACATGACAGGCCAGGTTTTAACTTAATAAACCATGTGTTATCTCATTACCTCTCAAAAACTATCGATTGTTTTGTGAAATGAAGTTATCGCTAATACACGGTAGTGTAGACTTGAGTTAAGACAAAAAGCAGCTATCGCACGTGGCAGTTGATTTTGTTTCTGTAAAAACTCATTATTCTGAAGAATTTGATAATCAATTATTAATCAACAATATGACAATCACATTGTACTCATGGGAAGAACGATACACTATGACGGATGATTGATTGTTATTTCAATCATAGTGATATAAGGAATAATACGAGGAGCTAATAATTTAACATAGATAGCACAAAATGTTTGTGATTCTCATGATTGATGAAGTTTTTCAGTCAATGTTAGTGATACCACTCGGTTGTCTAAATCAAAGTGGATGGAGGGAGACTGGAACTTGTAATCTAATGGTCAAAAGTTGAACCCGTTAACCAGTACGCCATTACTCCACTACATAACTTTAACTACAATCCCGGTGAAAACTAGCAGCAGGATTCCGTTTGTGAATTTACGATAAGTTCCATATTAGTTCATAGTTTTGATTAGTTACTCGGCATGTGATTCTGTGATGCAAACTACTGAGAAACCGAAGAATTTATAATTTTATGCAGGATTATTTCTTCTCATTGAGAAGTTTGTAGTGTCAGTCATTATTTTAAGCCTATAATATATCTTATTCTAGTTTTTGAACAAACCAATCTATTCATTCTACTTGAGTCATATTTTGACCTTGTTAATTATTCGCTTATCAGTCTTGACTGTTTTTATATGAGTGTATATGTGTGTACACTTCACATCCCATGTCTGTAGTTTATTTTTGTCTGACTATAAATATTGAGTAACGCCTGGCTAAAAATGGAGTTGGTTTACCAGTCATCTCCCCTGCGCGTCATTTTGTTTTGTTCTATCACAAGTTCACTTTTCTTTTCAATAAATTTCGCTCGCTTTGATTTCTTATACCAATGAAAAAGAAACTGATTGACAGTAGTAATTTCTGCTAGTAGCATTTTATCGATTATTGGTCTAAGTACGGAGAAAAATATGCTCGTACAATTGATCATAATATATAATGATTTAGATTCACTAAACAGATGAAAATAAAATATGTTCTTCTATTAAATTTCATCCTGATATGAAAAATAATGGATGTAAAAATATCATCATTATTACACGAGTTACAATTCTTTTATTCATCATCTATTGTACACAGAACACTAAAAATGATGATAAATAGTAATGTCTATAGTAAGATGGAATAATAATGATAATAATAGTAAGGAGAATCAATAATAACACAGATTTCAAGTAAATTGACAGAGAAGACCGAGAAGATAGATTAGAGGAACAAAACAATATCACTTCTTTGTGAATAAACAAAAATAAGCAGAAAGAAGAATAAGAAGAAACTCTATCGGAGACAACGTAGTAGTTTGTTCCAAGATTCGTCATAATCAACAAAAAAGTGACCACGTTATCATCATCCTTATTGTGTGTGAATGACTGAAATATCAATTGGACAGATATATCTATTATTCTGAGAGATTTGGTTGAATAATTATTAACCGAAAATTAGATAGTAGTCAAAATGATTTCTATGATTTTTTTCTATGGTTTTACCATTCAAGCTTTTATTCTTTTACAATAAATGGATCATCATCAACACAACTAAAACCGGTTGTATACTTCAATAAAAATACCATCGATGCGCACAGATTTCGAATCTGATTTTGTATGTAAATAAAACGAAAATCTCTGTTTCTCAGCATTATTTATAGAACATGAATGAAATAGAAGTTTAGAGAGAGAGAGAGAGAAAAAAAGTCGTCTTGTTTGACTGGTGTGATTATTAACTCGAAGAAAACAATGGAACTATCAAAAAGTGTAAAGATAAATTAATTTGTTCACTTCAATGGTAAAAGTTGTAGAAGTATTATTATTAATTATATTAGTAGACAAAAATATATACTTTTTGGTTTAAATGAATGATAATAATCTCTTTGTAGAAATAGTAAACTAGTAGGTAATTACAAACAATAGATGGACTGAACATCAGATAAACATATAAACAGACATTAGTCAACTTAGTCTTGAAATAACTAAGTCTGAATTAAAATTACAGTACGATAATGCAGTTCATTAAAGCAAAAAAGCTGAACAGTAAACGAAACAGATTAGAATTGAGCAGAACAAAACAGATTAGATAGAAACAGAGAAAATCTACAAGAATGAAGTGAATATAAAGAAAGCAGTGACGTGAGAGTAGCAACCTAAAAAAGAAAGAAAAAGATGAAACAAGGCACATTTTATATGGCAGAATAAAAAACTATAACTTGAACAAATATGGAACGTTATATGTTATTGTCCAAGGAATGCAATTTAGGAGAAACGTGGGAATGTGGTATACACTGAAATGGTTACAAATTAACAATCATTAGTACTCTAAAAGACAATTCAGAATACATGCGAATAACAAACAGAATCGAATGGAACAATAATCAACAGCAAAATGTAAAGAGCTTTCATCTCAACAGTTCAATTACACTATACATATTGAAGAACAATATTTCCTCCATTTTAAAGAAGCACTCAATCCAGAAGAAAAAGAAATACAAATATTCGTGTAAACAGAGGGAATAAGTGAAGCAGAAAAAGAAGTAACAAAAGAAACAAATACAAGTGAGCCAATGTTATGAAACACAATACAACAGAATGATGATTATATAGTAAAGAGTTCATGGAAAGACAAAAGGTAATTTTTCAAGTGATATACATAATAACCAAACCCTTTTAAAACTACATTGATAGTTTTATTTATAAGAAAAGATCTCTCAAAAAAATAACCAGAAGAAAAGAAACAAAACAGTGACAAATGTGAGATAGGTACAAAGATGTAAAGATACGAAACACTAGTTATATATAAATATATGTGTGTGACGAGGGGAACGGAGCTGGAAATAGGTAATTTAATGTGTAATCAATAAAGAATTAATTCATTATGTTGAAGATTTATTCTTTATTCCAGTTAAATCGGACAGTATACTACTTCTAGATGATAAGGCAGTTTGATGACGTTGAAATTTTTGTTGTTGATATAACTGACGATCTAATATTCGGTCGTTATTTGTCCAACCATCAAATGCCTTATAAGTATAATTTATAAAAGCTAAATTTTTCTGATAGCTTTTCATAGGATCTGTAACATTAGCTAAATAAATGAGTTTAAAAGAGAAAAGTAGAATGAAGATTATTAACTTTAATTAATAATAAATGCTTCAATATAATAATAGTAATAATAATGATAATAAGCAGAGATCTGCTTGTATTGCTTGTGGATTAAGGTCATGTCGATGCAATTCGTACAGCATGCACATATGCCAATAAGAGACTGATTGACTGAAGTCCTAAACATCAATGAGAAAACCTAAACAATCAATCTAAAAATGAATTGAAACTTCACCCTATTGCACAAGCTGGTGGATGACTGGACTCAGTAGCTAAGTGGATAACGTGGTAGCGTTTGAAGCGAAAAATATTAGGTTTGAGTCCCAGAGTGGACATCAACTCTGTGGTGTAGGTACATCCTTCTGACGAGTCCCAAATAAGACGAAACGTGCCTTCTGGATTCCACTGCTAGCCACCATCCATCTCTGCCTACAATGCTTGTGACTTAAGGCAATATCGAGGCAATACACACAGAATGCACATACGCTAATAAGGGATTGATCAAATCCAGTCCTAAACATCAGTGGAGTGATTCAAACAACTAACACAATAATGAATTCATAACGATATTAACTTATTAGATATTATTAATTAGACTAACTAAATCAAAAAAGTCTATTCATGAACACGAGCAATATATACTTTAGAAGTAGAAGATAGAAGCATTTGCATAATTATTTATATTAAGTTAGTAAGTGGAACAAGTTTAAATCTAATCAAATGACTATACGATGAGATGAAGTTTTTAAGATGTAAAATGTACATAGTGGTAATAATAATGATGCTGAACAAGACTAAAAACGTTGAGAATAAACACGATAAATAATGGAGTAAATCCAGAGAAAAACTAATCTACAGTCATAAAAGTATACATTTCTATACTGAAAATATTTTCGTTGTAGAATTAGAATATCAACTCTAAACTTGTACAAATGAATAAATCCTGTAGAAATATTGCACAAATTTACATTTCACTAACCTTTAACTAATAGTATGGAGATTTGTGGAAATTGTAGAATTTCCATAGTTGAAACCGCGAGACGATCTAAACTAGATTACCATTGAAAACCTGAAAGCACTAGATAGTCGTCTCGTCCTAGTACGCGACTCCTTAGCAATGTGTATCCACGATCCTGCATGCGAGACTCGAACCTAGGACCTTTAATCTCGTGTGTAAACCTTTAACTTCTAAACCACTGAATCGTCATTCGACGATGTTAATGTCTAACTTTAATCAATCCATGACACTACATAACCCTAACTGATTGTCAATTTATCCTACCTATGTATGGAATAACTAATAAATTGTATAATACCCACAGGACTATTGAACACTGTTAGTTCAAATTCACCATCATAGAAACTATATTTTGAGCACACTTAAAATTTTAATTGTAAAAGAAAAAGTAGAAATTTCGATGACTAACTAACGTGTATATTAAGCATAACAATAATAATAATAATAAATTAGGAATTGCCTTCTCTTAAATATACAAACACAGGAGGATAATCACTATTTTTATAACATCGATGACAGGAAACTAGTCGATATTATATATATATATATATATATATATATATATATATATATATATATATATATATTAGTAAACAGACTCTCACATTAAACTTGATATTTAGATGAGTCATACATCGTTATTTGAAGAGTTTTATATGTATATACATTTTAGAAAAAAGGACACCATTCATTCAAACAGAATACACCGAGATTTTCTAGTTGTGATCATGAGTCGATTGATGTTAGACCGCCACTGATAACCAAGAAACACTGGATAGTCGTTTCGTCCAAATATAAGACTCCTTAGCAGTGTACAGCCACGATCCCACTCGAGGGCTTCGAACCCAAGATCTTTGGTTTCGTGTGCGAATGCTTAACCTCTAAATCGGTAAGCCGGCAATCCAATGATGTTTGTATCTAGCTTCAACCAACCCACGAAACTGCGAGATCGTGGATGCGCACTGTTGACGAGCCCCATACTAAGACGAGACGGCCGTCCATTGCTTCCAGGTTTTCAATGGTGGTCTAACACCAATCGATTCATAATCTTAGTCAAAAACTTAACACTCTCCACAACCCCATATTGATACATCGAGATTTTTAAAAAACCACACTCACAGGTAAATTATAAACTAATGCATAGAAATAAATCAGCCAGGATTAACATCTAACATTAAGGAAAGAGGAAGAAATATATATTTTTTGTGTGTAAGATTGATAATTTTAAACTTTGGTCTAATTTGATAGAAGGATAGCTATTTGAACCAATTATACAATACTCGATACTTATCTTTATTGTAAGTTAAATACATTTAAATGTAACGTTAGATCATAATATTTTGTACAGAATGACAAAATTAGCTTGCTATAGCGTTTAAACACTTACAGAAAAGCAAGTTTTGTTACAGTAGAATAAACAATACAACACATATTGACAGTTTCTTTATTCAGAGTGCATTTTGTACACTTTCTATTACGTTCTAGGAACAACAACACCATTACAAGTACATTAAAAACATATACACACGCTGCAGCTGATCATGTGGTTTTTGTGGACAGAAAAGGTAAAAAATTTGAGCCACGTGATGCATTAAATCCGTACAGCCATAATTTTAATTGTTTTCTTTATGTTATGCGCATAGATTTTTAGTGTTCTATAACTTACATTAAACTATGCGCATATAAAATCATTTAACGAGAGACCATAAACCTATTTTGACTCTATTAAGTGGTTGGAGTTTCTCAAGATCACATCAACATTGCTCAATGAGTTGTCCATAAATCATAATATTGCCAACTCTTTATTTAGTAGTTAAAACAATCAGGGAATTTATCATAATATAAAACAAAAGAGTAAGGGAGGATGAAATAGTCATACACTACCACTGAACTATCATGATTACTAAATTTCGTAAAATATCTGTTCAAAAAAAGTTGATGAATACCGCTAGTATCTTCTGATCATTGAATACAGATGAAAACATTTAATATTTCTGGACATCAAGAGATTATTAGGTGTAATACTGATAGTGGGAAAATTATACAGAAATAACTGTGCATCTGAGATTTAGGCAATCCGATCGCTTTGTTATCAATGAGTACTTTGAAATGGCTCTTTATATAGGTGTGTTAGGATTTAACAAAACAACAAGAAAAAATACACACGCAACTTACGCCAACTTAAATCAGCATTGGGGAATTCATCGAAATTACTAGTATCATCGATTGAACGTATATTCACTGGAATCGCTGCAGGTCGTTCACGTATATGCTCCCAGTCAACTGCATGAAAAAATGGTTGTTTTCGTATATCTTCAATACTTGATAAACGTGTTTCTGCCCCACAACATAAAGATTGTATTAAGTTTCTTGAATGATTACTAATGGGCATTTCAGGTGGAAAAAATAATGCCTCTTTCCAACTCATAATTTTTTTATACGTTTCTTGTGGTGTAGCTGAACAAAACGGTGGGTAGCCTGTGAATGATAAGATGAAAATTTCAAAGGAAAAGAATGGAATGACATAATTGTTGTTGATTGTTTCCATAAAAACTATCTCGGCATAAATATAATAGTAAAGTATATGGAATTGACAAAAACAAACTTTTTGTAAAAAAAATTAGAAGCGGCACTAAGTAATCAGTCAGTCATATTGTTTATGAAACTCAGGTAACAAAATCGTACTTCATTTCATTTATAAAAAAGTAGATTTACTCTACATTATTCCCACTACAACATCGTTTATTCAATACTTTTCCAAAGACTAGAATTGGAAGTAATACCAACTTATAAATAATAATTTCATAGAGTCAATTCTCATTTTTGTAAAACTGTATACAAGAAAATATTATGGCGACAGTTGATATATATATATATATATATATATATATATATATATATATGAATTTGTAAGGTCTACTCAAACGGGATTGCGGCAGTTGATTACCTAGAATCCGGAAATCAATACGATGGGTAATGTAATAATCTCAGAAGTTTTGAGGAATTTACATACATTGTAAAAATTCGATTAGTCAAAATGACAGATGAGTGAATAGATAATTTTAAAAAGAATAAAATAACAATTAATTGAGATCATAAACCGAATTACGATAGACTACCATTGAGAACCTTCAAGCACTGGATAGCCAAGTCGACCTAGTATGGGACTCTTCAGCAATGAGCATCCACAACCCCACACATAAGATTCGAATCCAGGATATCCGACACCGCACGCGAACGCTTAATCTCTAAACCACTGAGCCCTCAAATGCTTTGGTACTGTTGAGGGTGGGGAGAGTTCACTCTCCCTCTCGAAATGCTCTCACATGGCAACGCGTGAACGACTACTAACAGGGAAGTCCTACTCACTGCCTTCTTGAGGCGTTGCTGTTGTTTACGGAATTGAGAGGACGAAAAGCGAATGTCCAGCGCCTTAACCTGGTTGGTGGATATGTAGAATCCATCTAGGGGAGTTGGAAAGTCATGATTCCAAACTAATGTTGCACATGGGCTCCAGGATCCTGAAGAAACAAGTGGTGTATGAACTAATCGTTGGTCACCGGCTACCGTGGGGGCTGCAACTCCTGACGTTGCTCCACTGCCTTGTGGGTCTGACCTTTAGGTCGAAGGCTCTAGGCGTGGCCCTCTAAGAAAACCACCTGCTTCGGTCTGATACCCAAAAAGTATCCAAACTCTTAAGCAAAACAGTCATAACTGCTACTGGCCTCATTGTTATTGTGTGGCGCATATGTATTTGGTGCCCTTTTGTACCAATGTCTATTCGTTCAAATAAATAAATAAATAGACCACTGAGCCGGCATCCAACGGTGTTAATGTATAATTTCAACCAATCCACGATATTGCGCGACCACCCTTCAATGTCTTTGATGAGTAATTGCCTCACATCACACACAGTTTAAATCCACTGGTCACAGCTTCTCACTAGAACTCCAAAAATTACCTCTGGAAGCTAGTCATTAGTGAGCACATGATGATTATTAGTATAGGGTTGTGAAAACTGTTCAGTTTTAGTTGAGATTCAGTGCTTTAAGCTTTTCACTGGTGATCTGCATTGATCAGTTCATGATCTTAATTAAAACTCAACAATCGGCACAACCCTATACTGACAAGTAACTATTAATTAAGTGAAAAGAGAATAACAAAATGCAAACAATAATGCTGATAATAATAATAATAAGTTTATAAAAGTAACAAATATTGGAGGTTTATTCAAGTACCATTCTGAACTGATCTATCACAAATGATACAGTTGTCAGTATTCCAAATTAGTAGTATTTTCGTTTTACATCATCTACATATTATACTTGTGAATTAACTTAAACATTACGAAGTAATATAAATGAATTATTTCAAGAAATTGAATACATTTCAACATAAAATGAGTCTCTAATAAAGGAGTTTCACATATGATGGTATATGGTAAGATAATTAGTTATTCAGTGGGAAGTATTTTTTGAATAATTATCTCTTATCATAGAATCATCTTGTTATCAATTCAATTTTGTAGAACATTTTGTAATATGATTTAATCTAATGACTACAACCAACTATGAATATAGTTTACATTGGAATTGAAAGTTCAGTATTTTTGACCAGTCCAATAAAAAAGAAAATAATAAATATGATCTTTAATACAATTTATGAACAATAAGCAACTATCGCACATCCATAATGTGACTGACTCTCTCTATAGGTTTTTTTTGCACTTCTAAAAGTCTATTTCCAAGCTAGCAACTAATATGCTTCGGTTTGGGCGCCCGGACAGTATCACAACCCACACACAAACCAAGTGACTTGTGTGGCGCATATGTATTGGGTGCCCCTTTGTACCAATATTTATGTGTTCAAATAATAATAATAATATGCCTATAGATTATTAAGTGATTTTGTGAACATTAATATTAGTTATGACTACGTAGGGAGATGAGGTCATGACTAAATTTTTTTGATAAGTAACATACGAAAATCAAGACAGACATTATTTAATAATCACTAGGTTTATGCATAATAAGAATCAATAAAAGGAAAATTAACATTCACATATTATCAAATGGAATGAATAATTAATTATTCATAGATCAACTGTATACAATATGCTCATGAAACGAAAAGTCGACGTTATTTACAAATCAAGCAATGCATAATGGTAGTGCTGTTTGTAATAGTCAATCAAGATAAACACACACATATTTATATACACAAACACGCTGTCTTTATGTCTAATTAAAGCTGTTGTCAGTGTATTTTTGTTTCGAGTTGAAAATCATGCTGTTAAAATTCATTATTGTCAAGGTAACATCAAATTTAATTAGGATTAAATTTAGACAAATATATACGAATGTATTTTTTAATTAAATCTTAATGTTGACTATACTCTTATATATCGTACCATAAAAATGGATTCGATAGAATTTTGACTATTTTAAAAAATATAATTGACAGAACAAACTACCCATAATTGATATACTATTGTCGCTTCTTGCCACTTCTCTAAATATTTCGTTACTATCCTGAAGGGAAAACGAAAAGACCAAGCAACACATTGAGTTGGGAATTGGAAGCAGATATCAAAAGAATGAATAGCAACCGGTAAAAACTGGAAAGGATTGCCAAGGATAGAGTTTTAATGCGGTATTATGGTGGGAAGCCTATGCTCATTCACGATGAGTAGCAGGAGTAAGTAATTTATGAGAGGTTAACGAAGACCGTCCAGTACGATTATCGATTCCGTTAGGGAACAATATTAGTTAAGGAACACTAAATATCTAATATAGACGTCTTCAACAGTATGACCAATCACGACCCCGAAATACATTGAATTTAGGATATTTTGAGTCTTATGGCATCAACATGAATTCGTTAGTTCGCCCTAAAACTTGGAACATTATGTAAAGTATCGTGAATAAAAATAATACTTTTCAATGTATATAACAATAATTGAAGCAAAAATCGGAACTGTTTATTTACCTATCAGCATTTCATACATAATAACACCAAGTGACCACCAATCACACGAATTTGTATAACCATGATGTTGAAATACTTCAGGTGCAATATAATCCGGTGTTCCAACAGTAGAATAAGCCTATAGTCAAATAACAGAGCAAGAAAAACAGATAACAGATGATACAACTATAGTTCACGTAAGAAAAAAACACTGAACTAATTTTTCTTAAAATTGAATGGCTTCAATCGAGTAATTTACATTACTTATCCAGACCATATATAACAACAACCACTGTTACGTCCTCTACTGGGCTACGACAGGATACGACGCAGAACCAGCGCCACTCGAACATGTAGAACCTTAAAGTTGCAAATCAAAAGGCGCAAAAATACGGTAGATGACTGTTGAGTAAGAATCAAAAATGTACGGAAAAACATGGGTATATATAATCATTAGTATTGACTATACCATCACTATAATTAAGCCGATCCGCAAGGAGGCAAATTATGAAATTGTCCAATGGTAGCAAGCAACATTGATATTATAGAACGCTCAATTGAGTACTGATTGGACGGGATCTCTTGGATTCTTTTATAGCCTTTCGAAATTTCGTCGTGCTTTTTGAAACTACCATGCCAAAATTAATCTAGCCTTAGTGAAAAGCTTCATCGATGATAGTACAATCATATTAACTATTATTAGGCTAAAGAAGAATATTACGAACACAATAAGATTGAATCAATCAAAGAATGAACAGAATTCAATTAACTGATTTAGTGACTGTAAAATACTATAGTCAAATTAATTGATCGGCCAAAATAATCCAGAGAGATACAAACAGTTTCGACATAAAAATGACAACGAAAAAATATCCAAAAGAAAAAATGTGTAACCAGTTATAGGTGAAAGAGTGAAAGATAGATTTATATTAGAAATTTATTATTTTCCTTATATTACCCAAGGTTACATTGAAAACAATGACTAGAATGTAAATGCATTAAAATAATTAGGTGTAAAATGTATTTATCTTTTGAAGAAACTAGTAACATAACTCAGTTTAACATCGAGCATAAAACCAACATTTCTGTTGAAAACTATTCGACATACAAATTATTACACTATAATAATATTGAGTAACCAGTATTTGTTATGTCTTGTTATTGGGGTTCAGTACGGCTTACGATGTTACGGATTTAGGAACGAAAACGATTGAACTTTTGTGATGCAATCGGTTCTCTTCAGAACTGACAACAATCAATTATGCTCAACACACCAAACCTCGACGGTTGGGACAAGAAGACGCAATTGCAGGTAACATGATATTTGTGGTAGAACAAGTAACTCGGACGAAATGGGTAGAAAATTTGTTACTATAGTAGAAGGATATCACCTTCGAGCGTGTACCAATTTAGTGAAGTAAAAAAAAAATAACAACCAATCAGAAGGTAGAAGTCATGCAGAAAATCAAGTTAGTAAAAAGTATGCGAGGGGTTATCATTTCAGAAGAGATCCTAGCCCTTCTAATAAAATCTACTTATTCTTGCGACTGCCTTAGCAGTATTTGAACAATGTAATTAAAAAATAACGACGTTGAAAATAATAATTACATGTATATGTATTTATTTGGATTAAAACACATATATGGTTCAGTATTTATCAATTTTTACATACACCTCACAATAATGCACAGTTGTGATAATAAGAATCCGTTTTCTGTCAACAATATTACTGTCGATTACATAATCCACGAATTAAAGAAAAGAATGTTGAAATCAGTTTTACCATGATCATCAAGAAAGTAAACAGAGATTAATAGTAGTGGTATTAATTTTTAATATAGAATGAAATCTGAATAAAATTGTTCCTGAATATGCACATGTACAGTTGTGGTACACATGAACGTTTTTTGTGTACATGATCAAATATTAACATGTTACAATAGAAGTGATTATGGAACCTTGTTATCAAATAGCTGAATGTCATAATGACTAAGCATATAAATAAGACAGATTTTAACTACTATCCAGAAATCAGTTTTTAAAAAAAAAATATAAATGACCGAAAAACTAAATAAAAATTATTTAAATTTTGCACAAAGAAAGGGTACATTAACTTTTTTTCTATTTGAATGAATAGGAAAAAATAAAACGAAAAATTCATTGCACTAACTAAATAGTTACAGAACAAAAAGATGAATTTGTTCAAATCCCAAACTATCCAGGTCGATTACATCACCATACACAATCATAATCTGAATTTATATACAAAATTATAATACTACTATTTAATAATGAAAAAGTGTTAGATCGAATAACTTTTAAAATATAAACCCTAAAGGTAAATAAATAACAAAATTACCGTTGAATAGAATATACGTCAATAGTTTATCTGGTTACATATTAAAATTAATATTACTGTATGTATGGAACAGTGTACACAATGTACATACACTTGAAGTAAATATTTATGAACAACAATTAGGATATATACAGAAGGTTTACAGTACAGGATTTAATTATATCACAAGATAATTGAAAAACTAACGCTTTTACACCAATTGACCACAATTGTTTATGATTCGAGTGACTGACATATAATCATTTTATTAATATTTTCATGAATCTTGATAAAAATGAAACATGTCTAGCGTATTTTGAGTGGAGCGGTGACTCAATGGTCTGAATCCCGCACCAAGCTGTTTTACATTGGAAAATCGAGTAGTATTGTAGTAAACGAAGACTTGATTTAGTGCAAAATTACGGTGCTTTCCTAAAATATTAAAAACCATACATTAAGTATATTATTTGCACACCTTCCTTCAGTCATCCTTTACATGATCCATGGTTCTTTTAATTTTGTTTTTATTACAATTGCTCTATGATTCCCTTTCTTTTTCTCGTCAATACAATCTTCTGCTGGCATGTATTCGGATTAGTGTTACACATTACTTACATCTGTCAACATAAGTAGCATAGACCACAGTAATATTAGCGTTCACATATAAAGTAGGGATCGATAACACGTACACAAACCTGTAACTGATAGTGAACAATAATAATGTCATATTTGAATGTGGTTATTGTCAATAGCCTAAAACTAAACGCTAGAAAATCGAAAAAAAGAGGACTGTTAAACTTCGACAAATAACTATCAGATACTTTTAATTAAACGCAACCAGCACTTGCAGAGAACTCAAGAATTAAGACAGTCTAAAATTGCGAACTTTAAGTTTATCAGTAGTAAGACAGTATATGTCTATTCAATATAAATTATTTTATTAATGAACATCACTGATACTATACCGACCACTTATGTATATGCATACACATATAACATTAGGCTGATGCTGTAATTATGTATTCTAGAACTATATTACCATAAGTTGACACATTCTCTTAAAATCTAAATATAACTGTGATCACGTTATCTAAAATAAAAAAAATTTTTTTTTAAAGTTTCTGTTCAACTGTCATTTTTGATTTCAAGGTTAACAAACACACGACCTTACAATTTGTACAAGGAGATGAAATTCGTCACATATGAAATCATTTAAACAGTCAATGAAAATATGGGAATGCTGTAATAGTTGCCTGCAGTGTAATGATAAAACAAGTCAATAGTATATTGATTATGAATATATAATGCTAATTTTTTTTCGAACAAATTGATTAAATGATGTAGAAAAAAACACAGTTCCGGACTATTTAAGAATTGACAGTTCTTAATGGTGAGCTATATCAAAATTAAGATTGAAACGTGGGTGTTGTCAGACTGACAATTTACTGTTATATGAAAGTTAATTGGTGTTAGATTCTGAAAGTTTTAATGAAACAACAGACAACTTTATTCACAATTAATTGGTCATATAGAGAAGTAGAGCAGTATCAAGTTTTGCATAAGTGATCAAATAAAACTTTAGCCGAATATGTAATTTATCCCATTGTATGTATGTGTATTTTATTAAATGAATCATCCAACCCTCAGTGACGGTTCTTTTGTATCTAAATGATTTGTATATTTATAAATAAAATAATATATTTGTAATATTCTAATGATTAGAAAAATCAGATTTTTTGACTGCTAAATAATAACTCGAATGAAATACCATGGATTGGTACTGCAGTTTTACCATACCGCCATGGTACAACAGAACTCAAAAGAATTTTAAAACAAAACAGAATTAAAGTATATTACAAAACAACGAACAAACTACGAAATACTTTAGTTCGCTTAAAGAATAAACTCCCCTTTATGTGAACACAGAACTGTAAGTACAAATTAGGATGTGTCGATCATGATGCCTTCTATATTGAAGTCATCTCGCGAAATCTTGACTCGAGCCAAAAAATATAATAGGTACACAAAGAAACCACCTAATAATCTCGCAGAACTAGATAGACTTCAAAAATTAAATCGGCAATAGCAGTTGATGCCATTTTCAACAACCACTAAATCGATTTCAAAATATTACAAAAAGGTTTTTCAAACTACATACAAAGGAGAGTAGCTGAATCTTTCCATATAATGCTTAATCTGACTGCTCTCAATAGAAAAGAAGGCCTCACTATACATCCGACTTGGACTATTTATCCAATCTACTACGTCTGATATTATTCATATTTCACACTATTATCGTAAATGCAAATTAAAATCCATCCGTTTTCACCAAAAGGTCACATTTTTTCATCCCTGAACTTGCACACATGCACACACAAGTTTACATACATGTTGCTTATAAATCACCTTGACCGAAATGACATGATATTGACTTATTCAGACTTGCTTTTTGGTTGATCGCACATAATATTCTTGTGTTGTACCTTTGTACTATTTAAACTTGGATTAATTGTAATTTGGGTATTTATTCTCTGAAGAAGTGGCTTCCACCGAGTTATGAAATATCAGAAAATCTAATTTTTCTACTCATTAGGATATTACAAATATATTACTTTATTTATAACAGTCTACCCAATGCTCAATTTATTCAAAATTATCAAGTCAAAACTTGGTAATGATACCTACGATTTGTATATTTGTCCTATATTCACCAGTCTGTTGAAAATCACTTCATTTGTGTAACATTCCTACGACTTGTCTGGAAGGTTTTTTGTACGTTTTTCACAACCATTTTTCTATTT